ATAATCAGCAAGCTGACTTTTTAACCATATCAATTGAGTGTTACGGCTCCCAGCAGCAATATATTCTGCCTCTGCAGTAGAGAGGGCGACAACCCCCTGTTTTTTGCAAAACCAAGAGACAAGACAAGTGCCAACCAGTTAACACGTACCTGTTGTGCTTTTCCGATCAGTTAGACTGCCGGCGAAGTCGGAATCGCTATATCCGACCAAGTCGAATGTTTCTTGTTTAAGATACCAGAGACCTACATTTATAGTGCCCTTTAAGTAACGAAAAATCCGTTTAACAGCAGACAAATGACTTTCGTTAGGGTTGGATTGGAACCGGGCACAAATACAGACATTGTACTGAATATCAGGTCTGCTGGCAGTTAAATACAATAACGATCCAATCATCCCTCGATACTTCTTTTCATCTACCGCAAGACCATTCTCGTCTCGATCTAACTTTAAATTTGCAGCCATAGGAGTGGGGATGGAATTTAAAGAAGTCATGTTGAATTTGGAAAGCATGGTATGAATATACTTGGATTGGTTTATAAAGATGCCATTAGCAGATTGTTTAATCTGTAATCCAAGGAAGAACTTGAGTTCACCCATCATGCTCATCTCAAAGTCAGATGCCATAGACTCACAGAATGCAATGCATAAAGCATTATTAGTGGATCAAAAAACGATATCATCAACATATATTTGAACAAGCAGAATGTCGTTCTGAGTATGTTGAATGAATAACGTTTTGTCAACAGTACCCTGATTGAAGTTATGATCTTTAAGAAAAGTTGTAAGACGTTCAAACCATGCTCGAGGAGTTTGTTTAAGACCATAGAGAGCTTTATTTAACTTATAGACATGATCAGGATATCTATAGTCAATAAATCCCGGTGGTTGAGCAACATAGACATCTTCTGAAATCACACCATATAAAAAGGCACTCTTGACATCCATTTGAAATAGAGGAAAGTTAAAGAAACATGCAAAAGCACACAGCAAGCGAATGGATTCAAGTCTAGCAAATGGGGCAAAAGTTTCGTCAAAGTCAATGCCCTCCTCTTGACAGTATCCTTGGGTGACTAGACGAGATTTATTCTTAATGATATCCCCATCTTCATTTGACTTGTTTTTATAAATCCACTTTGTTCCTGTAACAGTCACATTGGGCGGGTGGGGAACCAAATCCCAGACCCTTAGATGCTCAAACTGAGCAAGTTCTTCTAACATAGTTAACCCCCATTCCTCATCAGTCAATGCCTCTTTATAATTTTTAGGTTCAAACTGAGCTATATAGGCAAATTGACCAGTAATATACTTACCTCGAGTACGCAAACCATCGGACAAATTTCCTATGATCTGACTTTCAGGATGACGTTTTTGTATATGTGTTGGAGCTCTGGGAATGACTGGCGTGTCATGGGATTGCAATTCTGGCGAAACAGCAGGTCTAGAGCAGTCGACAATAGGTGGATTCGGTGCAGACAGCATGTATGAGGTACCCTCTTGGGTAGAACTTAAGGGGGACAACATCTCTGCAAAATCAAAAGGAGCAGCACCATCTTCTCCAAGCTCAAGAGAAGGGTTAGTATTATCAAAGCGAACATGAACCGATTCCTCAACTCTTTTGGACTTCTTATTGAATATACGATAAGCTTGTCCTTTCACAGAGTATCCTAGAAAAATGGCTTCATCTGACTTAGCGTCAAATTTGCCGAGATGCTATTTAGTGTTTAGCACAAAACACCGACAACCAAAAGGGTGAAAATAAGAAATACTGGGCTGTTTATTTTTAAATAACTCATAGGGAGTTCTGTTCAAATGTTTTTGAACTAAAAGACGATTCCCCACATAGCACGTAGTGCTAACAGCCTCAGCCCAGAAATGCTTTGGTAACCCATATTCAAGTAACATGGTGCGAGCACATTCAATTAGAATACGATTCTTGCGTTCCACCACTCCATTCTGTTGAGGAGTGCGTGGGGCAGAGAATGTACGAAGGATCCTAGTTTGGTTACAGAAGCTCTCAAATTCGTCTGAGATAAACTCCCCTCCACTATCACTCTTGATAATTTCAATTTTCCCTTCAAACAGCATAGTAAAAGTTTTAAATTTTGAAAACGTTTCATCTTTGTGGGAAAGGAAATAAACCCAAGTATATCGGGAATAATCATCCACAAGAACAAAGGCATAATTCTTGCCCCCTAAACTCGTTACATTGCAGGGACCAAAAAGGTCCATATGAATCAGTTCAAGGACTGATTTTGATGTAACTCATTGTTTAGGTTTAAAACTTTTCTTTGTGTGTTTACCAGCAACACACGAACTACAAAAGAAATCAGACCGCTCTTTCAAAATGGGCATTCCACGAACTAAAGTAGATTTAGACAGCTTGGATAACTTCTGTAAGCTTATATGCCCCAGCTTGCGATGCCAGAGCATCTCAAGTTGATGATTAGCAATCAAGCAAGTTTCACTAGCCAAATTACTGAGATTTATCACATACATATTATTAAACCGATTGCCCACAAAAACAGTGGAATTATCCTGAGATCTTGTCACTAGACAGTGAGAAGCCTCAAAGACCACCTTATTACCATTGCTGCAAAGTTGACTAATGGACAGTAAATTGTGCTTCAAACCCTCAACCAGGAGAACATTATGAATAATTGGTTGAGGTTTGGAGCCTATAGTTCCACTGCCTATTATTTTTCCAAAACTGTTGTCACCAAAGGTTACCCTACTACCATTTTTAGGCGATAGAGTAGAAAATAAGTGACTTTTACCAGTCATATGGTGGGAACAGCCGCTGTCCATATACCATTGATGATCAGAATCAGCAGAAGAATCTAATGAAACAGTTTTAAAGGCTAATTCGGAATTGGAATCTGAACTATTACCTTCAACATTAAGAGGAAAGGCCATGTAGGCCTCTTCTGTTACCTGTTCATTATTGGAGTTTGACTCGTAGTCACTCCAGGAAGCAAGCATAGCTCACTCCTTTGCCTTTAAGGTTAGAGGACAGTTGGCACGTATATGCCCCGGTTTCCCACATTTGTAGCACCCTTGCGGTTCCTTCCCGTGAGTACCTCCACATAAGTCTTTGGTCTGCTGTGAAAGTAGTCTATCATGGGAGAATGATTTGTAACGATCATAAAAACCAGGTTTTTTCAATTCTCCACCTCGACGTTTTTGCTCAGACTTATACTTAAGCATTCTATGAAACTTTCTACTGACCAAAGCAAATTCTTTGTCAAATTCAGTGTCATTATCTGACTCATATTCCTGAGCTTGAGACTGAAAAGCTAAGGTTTGCCTACGTTTATCGTTACGACCAACCTGCCTAATGACATGTTCATGAATCAGTAATGACCAGATTAATTCATCCATAGGCAAGGTGTTGAGGTTACGAGCTTTTTCTATGGCTGTCCTTTTGGGCAACCATTCCTTTGGAAGCGAACTAAGGATTTACCTAAACCCTTTAATTTATTGATTAAGACGGTGAACCGAGAATACATGTCGTGAATACTCTCACCTGACATCATGACGAAAGCCTCGTATTCGTGCATGAGGAGATCGATGCAGGTCTCCGTGATGTTTGATGATCCCTCATATGTCGTTTCCAGAGTCCGCCAGATTTCACGAGCGGTTTCGTTGTTCTCAACTTTGTCGGCTTCGTCGGGCACAATGGCGGTCTGAAGAATGTGCATCGCTCGCTGGTTGAGCTGAGCTCTCTTCTTCTGGGTAGCAGACCATAGATTTTGTTCGTCATCATTCATCGCGATCGGACCATCGCGAAACACCAGCCAGAGATCTTCCTCCACACCCCACAGAAACGTCTTCATACGCTTCCTCCACGCCGTGAAATTGGAACTGGTGAAAACAGGAGGGTGATTTTATGAAGCTTGGCCAAAATTTGAGGAAGCCATCGCCTGGATCAGTCTTGGCAGCAATTAGCTTCTTCAAGTACTGGCTCTGATACCACTTATGAAACGAGTCAAAAATTGGATTAGGGATTTTGACCAAGACAAGAACAACAAAGGGGAAAAGCGAAATGATAAGGAAGAACTCTTCTTTGACTCTCGACAAAGGTAAAGACAAAAAAATTTGGGCCAAAGAATGACCAAGCCCAAAAGCACTGAAACTAACAGAAATAAGCAAAACGCAGTGGGCTTTCTTAATTTGAGCCCAGACGAACATAAAACCCACGAGAGAGAGCTACAGCTTCTCTTTTTCTTTCTTTAGCAGGATGGGTCTTAAAGACGAAACCAAGGAAAGCAGGGGAACTCAACCAAACAAAGAACAAAGAAAAGAAACAGAATTGAAACGAGAAGAACACACGATTTAACGAGGTTCCCAAACTACTGGTCACTCCTCGTCTCAGAAATAGCACCTGCTATTTTCCGAGAGACTCTTTTTTTATTATGATTTTACCTATCAAGCAAAAGAAAACGAAACAGAGTATGGAAAAGAAAAAACCAAACAACCACCACCATAGATCACAATCCAATCTATAAAACCATCAACAGCTAAGAACCTCTTCCCCTGAACTGTTGATACCCTTTGTAACTCAAAAGATAAGCCCTCTACCGCTCTCCTTTTCTCTGTTACAAAATCTTTTTTCTTTAGCTTCTTCTAAAATCACAGAATATATAGAAGACCATATCAATCGTTGGAGAGGGCTAGCCGTTGCTGATTTTCCGCCAAGATTGCTTCTTGAGAGGAAACTTTCCTTTGCCATCTGATTCTTGAAAACTTACCAAAAGAGATCAATCGGTAAGACTCTTATTTCGTTCATCATTTTGGAAAATCTGACTTTCCAACTACAAACCCGGCGTTCAGTAACCACACTAACCCCTTGATTCCAACTACAAAGACATAGTTATTCCAGCTAACAAACTAACAGACTTGACTTTCCAAACTCTAACTATCCTTGAAACTCGATTTGGACTAATTTCACACAAAACAAAATTAAAGGAATAAAACATAAATAACAAAAATGACACACTCCGACAGCAATAACAACATTATTAGAATTTTGTGTTCATGTTTTCTTCCACACAGCCCGGATTCAAACTTGGTTACAGATTTATTCCCTTTTTTCTATGCCAGCTAATCTATCGAGTACCACAATCCAAATTACTCTTTACCAAATAACGTCCTCCAATTATTACTAGAGTAACCCTCTCCATGAGGGATTATGAGGATGTAGTTATGCTCGTCCTTTCCGATTATGACACTTCATCACTAAGTCAATCTCCCTTTCTTTTGTTGCACATCAACCATCCAACGTGCCATCCAGATCGAATGAGAAGTCATAGAAGGACAACAGTTTCCGGAGGAGGAGGCATGTAGTCATGCAACTTCCACGACCCATCGTCCGACTGATACATAGCCTTGTTCCTCATGCTTCTCCATTTTGGTGGCACATTGTACTCTTGTTTGAGATGATCGTCTTCTTTGTTCAGCAATGCAATATCTCGCTGCACTACGAACTTAAATGGTTCGATTCCATTGTATCCCGCTACTCCATGCATATAGAGCTCCAGGCTGTGGGGGTTGAGAAGTAACTTCAAGTAAGAGGATGAAATCAAAATTTGAAGCTCCTTCCCAACCTCAAAGAATCCGAGTAGCTTGGGTGGGAGGTTAGGGACGGGGTCGGGGAGGTTCCTGATCCGGAGGAGTCGTATGTCCGTCAGAGCGTTGAACATGTTGTAGAAGCCCCAGTCACCAACGAGTGGGCTGGCATAGACGAAGGCCGTGACCAAGCAACCAGCAGTCGTACCAGTTGGTTTGTGGTAGTTGTTGGCCACGATGTCGGCAGCGTTTAGGGTTGCAAGCGAGGCGCCCAAGCTGTGGCCCACCACGGTTATGCTCGTTTCCTCATCGCGATATTGGTCCACTAGTGCTCTCACCTCTGCCAAGACCTGTACGTGGATCAAAATATATGGAATAAGACAGTATAAAATTCATGCGACCAAAGAACCGATCGAACCACGTTGTATTTGATTTGAGGGTCCAATCCGGTTGTTGATTTGGTCAGATTCAATCGGGTTTGGACAAACCAATGCACACCAACGTTTGACATACCTGTTCACGGGCACTGTTCTTGTTGTAGGTAGAATCAGGGTTCTTATGAGCATAAACGCTAAAGAACCCTTGATGGGCCTTTGGATTATGGGTAGTCCCATAAACTTGGCCGACCGGAACAGCTGGGAAATTCGCATCCTGAAACCACTCCATGTTGGTGAGAGTGCCCCTCCAGCAGACCAGGATGTCCCTCCTCCCCAAAACCGACTTCCCTTCCTCCGTGCTCACCGCCACGTACCCCAGCCAGGCCGACTGTCCGGCGACGATCCAGTCGCCCAGCGTGAACTCCGAGGTGGCGTAGAGGAACTTGGTGATCTGGTACTTGTACGGATTCGCGTTCTGGAGGAAGACGTCCGTGAAGAAGTTTTCCGGTGGGTACAGGCTGAATCCGTAGGCCTTGGACATGGTTTCCCCGTTGAAGGCGTCGTACACAGACTGCAGCCGCTCCCCGTAGTGGATGAGGTACCGCCGGAAGTGGGCGTCGAGTGGATCCAACAGCCCATCCCAGTGGTCCTCGCCGCTCAACTTCTTCCAGTTGGCCATTAGTCGATCTTCTGGGTTTGAGTCACTAAGAGGCAATGGTCTGCTGGGTAAGGAAATTAAGATCAATTAATTACTATTAGTGTAGTAATTAATCTTTGCTCTTCTTTTGGTGAGTCAAACATTAGGAGGGAATGACGAGGTTTATATAGCTGAGGTCTGGCCTGAGAAATTTGGGTTCACAACGTGGCGCCAATGTCAACTTGGGTAGAACTGTACTGTGTACGCATGGGAAACATTGTATTCAAGTATATATACAAAAAAAAAAAAATTAATGCTGATAACATACGTGAAAGCTCAGTAAAAAACATATGGTACATATGCAGTGATGTCAAAGCCGAACCTAGCCGATCGGCCGGACCGACAAAGCTGCCACCCGGCCGTAAAACCGGCTCGGATCAGCTATTTAACCGCCACGGTTTTATATAGCGGCCGGCGAGCGGCAGAAGCGGTTAACCGCTCGAGCCGCTTGAGCCGGTCGCGCGGTTCGGCCGTTTGATTTACCCTAAAAAAAAAATAGAAAAGGCCAATCGTGGAATCGGCCGTCAACACCTCTTGTCCCGGCATCGGCGCTTCCCGACGGCATCGCCATCCCCAGTCGCCATCGCATCGCCATCGCCAGTCCTTGTTGTAGCAAGCAGCTCCCCGCTCCCGGCACTACCATCCCGTCGCCACCGTCGCAAGCAGCTCCCCGCTAAGCTGGCCTGTCTAACCAGAGGCTTGGATTGAATCCGAGCCATTTCGCGGATTGAGACGAGGAAGAGCATTTACGGGTTAAGAAAGGATGAGGTGATGGATTTTTGAGGAATTGCAGAAGGCTATAGTGGCTGAAAAATGAAAATAGGTGCGGCGGTGGGAGAGGAGGAAGGAGAGAGGGAGGGGGGATGGGGAAGCGGAAGGAAGGAGAGTGATGGGTGGGGAAGCGGCGTTGTCGTTTAGGATTAGTTTAGGGTTTTTTTTAGTTGCTGTATATATATGTTGTGTAGAATTATTAAATGGTATCTGTAATTATCATTTTTACTCATTAAATCATTGAATTATTACTTTATGTGTGTTCTACTATGATATTATATTGTTTATAATGTACTGGTTCTCAAACGGTTTTTAAACGGTCTAATGCCGGTTGGACCACTAATGACCGAGCCGTTCACGTTACCGGGTCATACTCCGGCTCGACTTTGATAGCATTATACATAAGCAAAAATATAATAGTATAATTATCGTTTTCACAATACCGACCTAGCTAGATATTCACATATATTATTCTAACCTAGATATTTATATATACAAATGTTTCTCCTAATACAGTTCTATATAACAGACTGAAAACAATTCATGTGGGTTTTGTGGGGCGGAATTTCAACAAGCCTGCTGCCATCTTATGGCCCGCATACAGTGCAATTGTGAGGAAGAAAAATATTGGGTTTATTTATTTTTTTAATGAAAAGATAGGTTGCATTATTAAGAATCAATGAGAAAGTATTGGGTTAATAAACCACTCTTCCTCTTCCTCTTAATTCTGCTATTACCATATTTTTTTGTACTAATTTCGTCGAACAGAGTTTGTATTTTCAAATGAATTTTATTAGTATTTTACTAATTATAATAAAATCATATAATTATCCTCAATTGTTAATTAAATTTTCATCTACCTATCTTATATGTGAGCCAAGGGTGATTTTTTTGGTACCTTGCCTTCCCGCCCCTTAATCTAGTATATACGGTTCAAGAAAGCGCTAGGCGTAAGACAGACGTGGAGGCTTTGCCTAGCGCCTAGCTTTTTTAGGCGTAGACTAAGCGTGCTAGGCGTTGGATTAAAAATAGTTATTTGAACTGGATGATGAATGAAATAATAATCTACAACACTTCCTCACCTCTGTTAAAATGATTAATAACTTACTCAACACTTAATGACAATAACATAGCTCACGAATTCATAGAATCATAGCTCAATAGCTCACAAAGTTCTTGACTATTGAAAATATTAATATATAAAATTGATTTCATAGTTGACTTTAATTTCCCCCTTTAATACTGACTTCCTAGCTCCATCTAGTTGTGCTTAGGAGAGACTTAGATGTCGCATTACTCTATTGACTCGTTCCATTATCTAACCAGGCGCGAAACCACTAGGCTAAGCGTTTTTCCCTTGCCTTGTGCCTAGGCGTCTCTAAGAGTAAAATTAAGCATGACTTTTTGAACCATGATATAAACATAGTTCTCCTCTTACATTGCACAACCTTTTTGTTGATCCTCGTGTGGCTCTTTCCCCTTATTTATGATGATAAGGCGCAAAGCGCTAATATATGGTATTGATAATCAGATTAAATTGTTGTTAATTAAATAAGCTGAACACTGACAGTATTGCATAGTTTGAAACTCTATGATTCTAAGAAATTTAGTTATCAACTTGAATGATATTTCAAAGATTAGTTGATTTAATTATACTGGGTTCCAAACCTGATTTGAGAACTCAATTCAGGGGTAGTTTGGAAGTTGCGAATGTTAAATCGTTGCAATATAATGAATCAACATAATATAAATGCATGTATTGATACAATGGATGCATTTTAACAATTCATTGTTTGGTTGTTGAGATTCTACTTTATACATTAATTTACATAAAGTTACTTTTATGGGAAAATGTCACATTTACCCTCAATTTGTAGAATAAGACAAAACTATTAGGGATATAAAAGGAAAGAAAAAGTTGACACAAATCTAAAATCAACAATCACAACAATCTTAACTTTTAGTTGAGATTGTATATTGCATCATTGTTTGTGATTGTTGGTGGGACCTACCTAAAACAATGCATTGTTTTACATTTTGGCACTTCCAAACATTGTACTGTGCACAATACATGTTTTCAACAAACACAACTCTAACAATCAACACTTCCAAACGATCCTCAATTAATTTGCAACTATTTCAATATAAAGTTGAAAACATATAAAGATATTTGAAAATGAATTATGCACTATAATTAATTTTTAAATTAAATAAATTATTAATTCTTTGGCATCCAAATAGTCTTAAAGGATGATTGTAACTCGGGGTGGACATCGGTCCGGTCCGGACCGAATCGTATCAAATTGAGAGAATAGCGGTCCAATAGTGAAAGATAAGTTAGGACCAAGGACCAGACAGCTAGTGTATTCGGTCCGTTTGGTCCGGTCCAAATGTAAATTCGGTCTATTTTTCTTCAGTGTTTATAAAATTCATGGCCCCAAGGACCGTACCATATTATATCGATTCAATGTGATCCGATCCAAACATTAATTCGATCCGGTGTGGACCAACCCATTACTCACCCCTAATCGTAACCCAAGCCCTATAGAAGGGCCTCTGGTTTGCGAGTAAACGAATCGTCGCCGTTCCAAGCTCCCCGCCACCACTCGGATTCGCCGCCGTTCTTCATCCTTTTGATTTTATTCGGCTTATTAGTTTGTTGTTTGATCTATGATTTGGATTATTGTTCCCACTAACCTTATTTGTAAATATTTTTACGGATTAATCATTCATCTCTTCTAATTTTGTTTCTCTCAATCCTCGCCGGAAGCAGGGTTATAGATTTCAGCTCCATCTTCTCCATCCCTGGATTCCGTCACCGAAAACGACGTTCCCTCTTTTGTTGGGAAAAGGAGGAGAGGCAGAGCGACCACCGTGCTTTTTTTTATTTGACAAATGCAACCACCGTGTTGCTCCATCCGCCGCCGTGTTGAGTGCGCCAAGGAATTTGGTAGCCTACTGACTTCATCTCCTCCACTGGCGACGTACGGTTTCCGATTACCCTCTCCTCTGCCCAGCTCGCCTAACAAGATCACAACCAAGACTATGTGAGATAAGTTTTCGGCGCCAAGAGGAGCTCTGCGCGCGGGGCATCGGCTCCGATACCCTTGTCAGCATTGCGCGTGATGGCACGTGTGCGGTATTCTGCCTGCTGCTGTCTTGCTGTCTTTTAGTTTCAAAATAGGTCGACACGTGTGACCGCATGTTGGCTCTTCACTCTTATCCTTATCCCTATCCCGGGAGCGGTAACTTGTGCATAATTATATTTACTGTCTCACTATCCCTTTATTAGTCAGTAGCTCAATTGGGCTTTAAGTTAGTATTTCATTCCGTTACTTGTTTGGGCCAGACCTGCACTTCACTTTACTTGAAATGATGGGAATACACCTCGGCCACGCTTTGTGGTTGCTTGGTTTTCTCTAAACGCCGTGGAGAGGCGGAGGCTTAGTAGTTGCTGTATGTTTTGTTCATTTTTGCAGGTTAAAGTGGATTATGTAGCTTTTGAATGACGACAAAGTTTGCATCGTTTGCGCGGGAGGTTCCATCTCCTCTGATATCGGCTCGCCTTCTTTCACGAGCGTATTTGGATGTGACTTCTCGTTTGTTTGTTCAGTTTATGCAGGTACATGTTGGAGTGTTTGTATCGGACGCGTGTAACCCTACATCATTGGTGAAGGACTTGCTTCTCTGCTTCATTTCGAAGCATGGTTGGTTTCATGATTTATACTTTATAGGTAGAAATCATGGATATTCCCCATGTCGTAAAGGTATTAGAGAACTGCCCGTCGCGCGGCGAAAAAGGCTCTCTTATCGATGATTTGGCTAATTGTCGATCGTCGTCCCTTTCTTTTTCGTATATTATTACGTTGCCTGAAAAGGGTTCCAATTCGTATCTAACTGTTCCATTTTTGGGAATATCTTTGTAAAAAAAATGTTGATAAATCATACAAAAAACTATTATTGTTGATAATATACGTGTGAAAGCTTAGTAAGAAACATATGATAGCCTAGGCATATGAAAGATACAAATTAAAATACTATAATGATCGTTTTCACAATACGGACCTATATATATATTGTTATTCTAACCATGATATTTCTATGTGAAAATGTATTCTAACCTTGATATTTGTGTATGCAAATGTTGCTACTAATACAGTTCTAAGTTATCTCCGTCAGAAGTTTTTTGCCAACTTAAAATTATAATCTCTTCTGTCTAGGATGTTTCCTCCACAATGGCCAATTTATTTTGACTTTAGACTTCAAAATTCGAACTCGATATGAATGTCAATCGTATTTTATATTAATACTAGGTGGCGATGT